CTTTGAGAGAGAATTCGTTGAGGTACGAAAATGTTTGATTTATTCAATGCATTGTTATTGAGCCAAGGCTGAGAGAGAAAGTGTCAGGTATATTACATAGCATAAAAGTCTTTGTAACCCTTGTCCACAAAGACTTTCTAACTTTTCTCTTTTATTGTGCTTTCCATTTCCAGAATGCAAGCTCTAGAGAACCAAGAAGGAGAAGCCGAAGCACTTAGGGCTCAGCTAGAAAAACGTCAGGCTGAGCTACAAGAAAAGGCTAGAAATGAATTTAGTGCTCCTCCACAGAACCAAGAAGCAGAAGCAGAAGCAGAAACACTTAGGGCTCAGCTAGAAAAGCGACAGGCTGAGCTACAAGAAAAGGCTGGAAATGAATATAGGGCTCCTCCACAGAACCAAGAAGCAGAAGTAGAAGTAGTAGCACTTAGGGCTCAGCTAGCAACGCATCAGGCTGAGCTACAAGAAAAGGCTACAAATGAATTTAGTGCTGCTGCACAGAACCATGAAACTGAAGCACTTAGGGCTGAGCTAGCAAAGGGTCAGGCTGAGGAGCAAGAAAATGCTACAAATGAATTTAGGGCTTCTCCACAGAACCAAGAAGAAGAAGCGGAAGCAGAAGCACTTGAGGCTCAGCTAGCAAAGCAGCGTCAGGCTGAGCAACAAGAAAAGGCTAAATATGAAAAAAGGGCTGCTCGTGGAGAAAAATCAAGCAATCAGGCTCTCCGGATGGAGAAGGAGCTTAGTGGGCATTTAAATGATGAGGGGACACATGGGGATGTTGGAGGGTACAGTCCTGGCAGAATTTTTGAGAGAGTATGAAATCAATGAATTGAGGTATGGCATTATGGTCAAGTATATTACATAGCATAAAAGTCTTTGTAACCCTTGTCCACAAAGACTTTCTAACTTTTCTCTTTTATTGTGCTTTCCATGTCCAGAATGCAAGCTCTAGAGAACCAAGAAGCAGAAGCCGAAGCACTTAGGGCTCAGCTAGAAAAGCGTCAGGCTGAGCTACAAGAAAAGGCTAGAAATGAATTTAGTGCTCCTCCACAGAACCAAGAAGCAGAAGCAGAAGCAGAAACAC